TTTTTTTTTTTTTTTATGATGTCTTTCTTGTTGTGCATTTATAAATAATTATTTATATTTATTTATTTATTTATTTATTTATTTATTTACTTATTTATTTTTTATTTATTTTTTTTTGTTTGTTTGTAGGTAGTGTTTTTTCCTTTGGGGAGGATGCAATAGGCAAGAGGAGGGCTGCTGCTTCTGTTGCTTATCTATCAGCTTTAAATCATTATGTTCATGTACAAGAGGAGACAGAAGAAGAATTAACAGAGGTATTTTTATTTATTTTATTTGTTTTTATTTTTATTTATTTTTATTTTATTTGTTTTGTTTTGTTTTGCGTTTGTTTCGTGTTTTTTCGTTTGTTTTCTGTTTTTTTGTGTTTTTTTTGTATATTTTGGTTGTTCATGTACAAGAAGAGACAGAAGAAGAATTAACAGAGGTATTTCTATTTTATTTATTTTTGTTTTTATTTATTTTTGTTTTATTTATTTTTATTTTATTTATCTTTGTTTTTTTTGCCCTTGCTTCTTTTTTGTTTCGTTCTTTTTCGTTTGTTTTCTGTTTTTTTGTGTTTTTTGTATATTTTGGTTGTTCATGTACAAGAGGAGACAGAAGAAGAACTAACAGAGGTATTTTTATTTATTTTATTTATTTTTGTTTTTATTTGTTTTTATTTTATTTGTTTTGTTTTGTTTTGCGTTTGTTTTGTGTTTTTTTGTTTGTTTTGTGTTTTTTTGTTTTTTTGTATATTTTGGTTGTTCATGTACAAGAAGAGACAGAAGAAGAACTAACAGAGGTATTTTTATTTTATTTATTTTTGTTTTTATTTATTTTTATTTATTTTTATTTATCTTGGTTTGTTTTTTTTGCGTTTGTTTCTTTTTTGTTTTGTTTTTTTTCGTTTGTTTTCTGTTTTTTTGTGTTCTTTGTATGTTATGGTATATCCAATAAACTCAAATATTTTTATTTTATTTATTTATTTTATTTTTATTTTATTTTTATTTTATTTTTGTTTTATTTTGTTTTGTTTCTGTTTTTTTATTTCGTGTTTTTTTGCTTAGGTTAACATGAGACTAC